AATTATATTTTGGGTGAGGCATCTGTCTGTGGGTGGAATAAAGGTTATTGGGTGAAAAACTTATTTTTGCAGCCAAATAAATGTTAATATTTAAATTGGGTTTATCTTGTTTCATGAACATGAAAATGTTCTACTCACAAGATGACTCAACAAATTTTCAGTGTCTATCAAGAAAGGATGCCAACAGGAAAGGATGAGTGACAAAACTCATTGCCCAAAGATGAGGAAGGTATTCAGTGATTGGAGCTGACAGGGTTGCCAGCTTCTACAAATTCCTCTCTGCCCTGGAGCTGACCCAAACCAGAGAGCAGGAAGGCACAGCAGAAAGAGCAGTTCTTTCCTAAAGGAAGCAATGCCAGATGAGGCAGGCAGGAACTGGTTGCTACTGTGGGGCAGAGAGCTGCAGCTCTGTTATGGGTGTATTTCCATTCTGACAGCAGCATGTGTGGTGGGGCAGCTCTTGGCCACCTGTCTCTCTGCTGAGAGGATTCCTCAGGGATCTCCTGTGTGGCAACTTCTGAGAGAATTCTGCTATCTATTCAGAAACTAAAAACTTCTGCCATATGGCTGCTATAAAATAAATCAAGGCACATATTGATGTTATTTCTGTTCTCTGATGCTCACTACCCTACAGCAGTTTTGTTTTTCCTTTGTCCACAATGTCGCAAAAAGATCTAAAAGTCTTACATCTTTGGGCTTCATTAAGTTGGTCTCTTTTCAGATGGACTGGACAGAAGACGCATGTTAAACAAATCAGAAGGAATGTCTGAGTGCACCCAACTGAAACAGATTTGTTTTCCAAGTATAAAAGAGGTTTTTTTATCACTCCTGGCACATACATTTCCAAAGTGTTATTCTGCAGGAACTCTTATTCTAAGGCTTCTTTGTAGCAGTAGTCGAAGGAATAAGAGATCCTTGTTAGAATATATTTTTCTCTAAAAGAAAATTGTAATCATAAGAAAGTGCTGGCTGTATAAGCCTTTTGCAGGATGCATTTGTGTAGACAGGAAATCTTCTCCCTTTTGGGTCCCTAGTGGGACATGTCATCTCTCTCAAATAACCCCTATTCTACAGCATTCCAATTAATGACTATTATGTAATAATGAGATGGTAAAAGCACATTACTACGTAAACATGGCATGTGACCCTCCCAGCTTCAGCTGGGCCTACTGATGTTGCAGTTCAGATGTATGATGGTGGATAGCTTCCCCCTGTATCACTGTGGAGGATAAAAGGCCAGTGGGATTCATTCATTCACAGAAGAGAAATGGAGATGCACTGAACCAGCAATTTACTCTGCATTAGTAGAGATGAATACTCTCATAGTAAGACAAGAAGAGAGTAAGATGAAGTCTCATAGTAGCACTGATGTGAAAGGGACTAATGACCACAGTCCACTTCTGACTGGGCTCTGGTTTCCCCACATCCTGGACTGGCCCAACAGGAATGTCTCTTGAAAATGCTGATGGAGGGATGGAAAAAGAAAGGAGTCCAAACTGTTGCCAGTTTGTAGCAGGCCAGCACATTTTCCAACAGCTCAGACCTGTAAGAGTTCTCAGAGACCTTTTGTGGGAAACCATTCACCAGACAAATTGCTCACAGGCTGCACAGCAAGGTTGTGGGTCTCAGTCTCTGGAGATATTAAAAAACTGGACACGTCTCTGTGTAGTATGTTCCAGGTGACCCTACTTGAGCAGGGAGGTTGGACTAGATGATCTCCAGTGGTCCCTTCCAACCTCAGCCATTCTGTGATTCTAATTCTGTGGTAGATGTAGTCATTATTTCCGTTCACCTCAGGCTGCAACAAAGCACATTTGTTATCCTGTAAAGCCTGTTGCTGTTTCTCTTTCTAATTGTAATTTTAGACAAAGGAAAAAACCTTTCCATTAGAGCTCATTTAGACAAGGTGATTTTAATGTTCTCATACATACTTTTTTTGCCTCCATTATCTACAATTTTAAATTAAGAAGGACTGAAGTCTTTCCCCCAGGACTTCCAGGAGCAATCAAATCGTGGCTCCTGCTCAGCTGCACCAGGAGATGACAGTGTGTAATCCTTGCTCACTGGGCTGGGACTGGCAACCAGTGGGGGCTGTGGGGCTGCCATGAGAAGTAGCCAGCCCTGGAGTTCATAAGGTCACTCCCACAGCATCAACAACAAACCCATGGACAACCTTTTGTTATAAGAATTTCCAAGCTTTACAAGCTCATAAATCACAATTGCATTTATCTAGAAGATAACGCTATTACTAAGCTACCGTACACCTTCACCTTTGCACCTGCAATACCAGACAGTGACATTTTTACCAGCTATAAAGTCAGTCTATTCAGCCACAGCTAAATTAATTTTAAATAATAAAAAAATTAAAATACTTAAAAATTTAAGGACCTTTTGTTAGAGCAAAACAGATCTCAGCTCAGTCCAGTGAACAAAAGGTATTTTACTGGGTTTTTCTAAATCACAGGCTCCAAGATACAGCTTCCAGTACACTGCCCTGGGATGCACACTGACTACTGCACTCATGAGAAACAAACAGAGCACAAAAAAATCTGAATGCAAGTCAGACACAGCAAAGATTGAATGGTGTCTCAGTCCAGACTTGCAGTTCATGCAAGATAGAGTATTTGTAGAATGTTGTCAAGAATGCAGGAGTAGGTTTTGGACACCCACTGCTACAATTCTGGAAGTTTAGCTTCAGTTTCCCAAATCTTGTTATTTCTCAGCAACAGACAAAGGAACACAGGTGGGGAAGGAGCTCCAAAGTGACCAAACCCAGTCCCTGCAATCACAGCAACTAAGCAACCATTGAGATACCAGTGTCTGAGTCCACCTCTGTTAGGAAACAAGGAAAAGGATCACTTTTTCCTCAAAGAGGAACCTCATTCAACAAAGTCTGTTGCCTCTGACTTGGGCTGTCAAGAGAATTCCATGATACTTTGCTGTTAATTTTTGCCATTGATACTAATTGGGAAAGGCGAGGGAGAAGCAACAGGGGAGGCCTTTTCCCTTGGCAGCAGGAAGGTAAAACTTCCCACAAATATCTTTAGTGTGTGGAAATGATTATCTGCTGGTGACTTTGGCAATGGCCAGATTCCCTTTCTTAAGGGTAAGGAGAGAACTGGTCACAATTTGTCAGAGGAAAGGAAGAACCTTATTCATTGGAAATTGTGAAGAGAATTTCTGTGTGAAAGTGAAGGGAAGTGGTCTCATTTCTCAGCTCTTACAAATGACAGTGAGATGACTTTTTCCAGCATTTTAAAAGAAATAGGGAAATTCATACCAGCCCTACAGTAGACTTGTGACTGTCTGTTCCCAACAGTTTCTACACAGAATCTCCTGTCACAAGGCATAATATCATGCATTATACGTTTATTTCTTCCCAACAAGATCCTACAGGAATTTGAGGTAAAAATGGGTAATGACTTTAGTCATTCTAGCATTCTAGTCCCATGCCCTGAGAAATAAACATGTTCATCCCAAAAGGGCTTAGCTTTAATTTTCTTCCTCATGCTGTTGTTTTCTGAAGAAGTAATTTGCATCTCTTACTCCGTTTCTGCTTGGCAACCTGGAACAGACTCTGCTTGTCCTCCTGTTACTAAGGCAGAAACTGCCAGACTCATTAATAGGAACTTATTCTGCCCCTGCAGAGGGGAGCAATAGTGCCTCCCAAAGCCACAGGAACAAATGGCACCTGGAAACGAGCCAGCACAAACTCCTGGTGTGGGCTGGGACCACAGCAAACACTGCAGGAGACTGAACGCTGAGCTTCATGGATGGTGGTCTGACTGCTTATTCAGAAGCCATCCTACCCTTTGAACACTGGTGAGATATCCTCAAACAGTAGAAAATATAGGACTGGAACACCTCTCCTATGGAAACAGGCTAAGAGAGCTGGGCTTGTTCAGCTGGGAGAAGAGAAGGCTCTGGGGAGACCTTATTGCAGCATTCCAGTACTTAAAGAGGACTTATAAAAGAGAGGAAGAACAATTTTTTACATGGGCAGATAGCGATAGGACAAGGGGGAATGGTTTTAAACTAAAAGAGTAGAGATTTAGATTAGATTTTAGGAAGAAGTTCTTTACTCAGAGGCTGGTGAGACAGTGGCACAGGTGGCCCAGAGAAGTTGTGGATGCCCCATCCCTGACAGTGTTCAAGGCCAGGTTTGATGGAGCCCTAACCAACCTGGTCTAGGGGGTGGCATCCCTGCCCATGGCAGGGAGATTGGAATGATGATCTTTAAGGTCCCTTCCAACCCAAGTCTTTCTATTAGTCTGTGAAAATACATTTGTCAGCATCAGTATAACTAAATAATAGGGAAGAATACAGTTCTGTAGGAGATGGCTTTGACACGCTGCCTCTCTCCTTGCTCCGAACCCCTGGCAGCAGGCTGACTGGATTACTTGAAGTGGAATTTGATTATGGCCTGCCAGCCAGAGCCTCTGCTGCTTTGCTTGACTGCACAATGTGAGTGTGTCAGGACAAGTTCACTGCAAGGGAAAATCCACTGAAGTCAAGAGAGTTGTACTGAGAACAATTCCAGCCCACCACTAGGCTTTTTTGCAGTGTGAATTCAGTGCTGATGCAAGCAGGCGCAGCTCCCACTGCTGTTGGCAGCAGTCTTTTGAGAGACTCAGGCCTGCCTATTCTGTACTGCCCTGCCCTAGAACCAGCCAAATCCTTCAGTGTTTCTTGCCACACGACATTCCTCTGCAGGGGGAGATATTGTTGAGGACAAATATCACAAGTGCTTGTAGCTGTAGGGAAAACCTCAGAAATTTAGGAGAAATATGCCACTGATAAAATCCTATTTTCCTGATATGGCAAATGGTGTGGGAAACCAGTTTTGAGACATCCCTATGCAGTTATTACAACAGTTACTACTGTTGCTACCATAACAGTGCATTTATCAGTTCCATTTTGCCACTGATCATATTACAGAACCATCCATCTAATTTACTTATCATCCCAAATTGCCTTCTGTGGCAGCCTCACTGCCTTACCTTCCCACTGTTCCCACTATCTCCAACTGGAACAGCTTCTGCAGTCCCATGCTGAGCTACCAGTGTGCTGTCTTGATGTTAGATTATGCTAAGACCATCCTGGTTCACCAGACTTCAAATATACATCCTTTTTTTTTGAAACAAGATGTGACAGATAAACTAGTCTGTGAGCTTGTAAGTTTTTGACTACCAATCCACCACTTCATAACTATAAAAGCCCAGTCCAGCTCCCCTATGGCAGATTGTTCCACATACTTCCTTGAAGCGTGGAGCTTCTCCCATGAAGCAGGGACACCTCTTCATGGTTACGCCCCAGGGGTTAAGAGAAAGAGAGAGATATGCCTGTTATCTCATATGATGAGCTACATCAATCTCTACTTAATAATTATTTCTTTTGCCAGCTTTGATACAATTGCTTTAATATAATTGCTTTGTTACAGTGCACTATATTACTTTGTTATATAATACTCTACTGGTAGATTTTTTTAGCTTTTACAGTATGTAGTAAGTAATTCTGATTAGGATATTTTGTCTGTTCACCTGTTTGTTAATTTGTCATAATAAATAATTCATTTATATAAGTATATCTGTTTTGCCATCATTAAAACCCGTGGGACAAAGTGGTTTAATCATACCTCTATAATTCCTTTAAATGTAAACCGTTGACACAGCCTGAGGCTAAGATAGGATTCAGCCTCACTAAACCCTTCACTGAGAAGGAGTTTAGAAAGCAAGGAAGTCCTTCCTGCACCTCAAGACTCACTGGCAAGGCTTTGCTTTTTAAAACTTGAAGGAAGGCTTTGTCTAAGCCTTCCACTCTCCCATGACAAAGATGAGTAATGCAAGGGGAGTCTTCTGTCCTTTGGTAATAATAAGCCTGAAATATGGGGCACAAAACATAGAAAAAAAAGCCCTTCCATTACCTGCTTTATAAAACCTGAGGGACTTCTCATGCAAACACGAGCCCATGCCCATGGGCTGCACGAGCCTCTTGTTTACAGGCAAGCTCACCCCTTGGCAGTGGTATCTCTAGAACAGAACCTCTGCAGTCATGTGGGACTGTCACTGCAGTCACACCCTGCTACAGTTTTTTAAAGGGCAGAAATATATATGTAAATATTACTTTGTGAACAGCATTGACATATAAGAGATGGGAAAAATCACTGATGCGTGCATGTGAATGGCTGAGATTTTACAGACTGATGTGCAGTCTGTGGCATTTGGATTTCTGAGAGAATGTTGTTAAAAAGGATCTTACAATTCAAACTAACTGTTCCATCAGAGAGCAGGACAGGAGGGGGTGGGAGTGTTCTCTGAATGCAGGGAAATTCAGATGGTAAGTAACATGTGATGGAGAGACTGCAAGGGGAACCCAGCCAGGTTTTGATTGTTCCAGTTCAGATCAGCACAAAAGAATCAGTGACCTGCTGGATTTAAATGGTCAGCTTTAGTGGCCTGATTCTAGCTTTTATGTTAAACCCCATCAATGCTTCTTTTACGTCACTTTACAAGCTCTTTGCCTGATTGAGACCATAGAGATTGAGCCAAGCACGCAGTGAGGCTCAGGAGACACAACACTGATGATGTCAGGGAAACCCTGTCCACTCCCCCTCAGTGCAAGTTTTGGCCCTGATCTGTAGGACAGTCCTGTAAGGTGGCAGCTTTCAAATATGTACTGATTCATGTGTAAGCACCTCTTACCCATCTGCAGCCCTGGTCAGCTGTTATGCTAAGAGACGTGTGGAGGTGGGCAGCAGGGCAAATAACCAACAGAAATACATTTACTTACACATCTGCACATAGACTACCCAGCATCAGCTGCAGGGACTGACAGGACAGATCCTGAGACCTGACCTGCATTGTCACAAACATGTTGTATTGCCACAGACAGATTGCTTCACTTTGCTTTTTCATATTTTTGCCACCTGTAAAATGTGATGTCTGTGAATCAGTTGCTGCATGGATAGGGGATTTGGAGTTTGCATTATACCCTGGTTTCTCTTTTATTTTATCAACTCACATGAAACTATATTCCATGTTTGTACTTGTGCTGATGTAAGTGAAGAACAGGAAGTGTAGTAGCATAAAACAGTAATTTCAAAGAACTGTGCATTTAAATAAAGACAAAACAGCTGGTCTCAGAGAAACAAGACTGAGACTCAAGAGGCTTAGGCTGAGTTCCTAATTCTACTGAGCTCTATACAGAGGTTGTGTTTTCAATAATTTTTCTCTTACTGTCTAGCCTTGAACAAGACAGTATTTCCAAGGCTGCTTCTTTAAAATTTATTAATAAATGTATTAATTCACCTACTTTACTAAGTGCAGGATGATTAATTTCCAATGAGGCAGAGGAAACAACTTAGGTGTAAGTTATTTCAGTGCTAAGAGGGGTGGCATGAATTTACATGCAGATTTGTACATGTGCATAAATACACACATAAAACTTCTGCTCACTATGCAGAAGGGAAGGGTGTGGTATATGTGTATTTACACAAACAAGGAAGAAGAAATTTTTTTAAGCTTTCCCTAATTAAACTACAACTAGGAACAAAGAAAAAAAAGTAGAATGTCATTATAAAAAGGATTCATTTTCTAAATCTCTGAGGAGAAAAAAAATTGAGTTGTTTTAGACATGGAAATGATTTTTTTTACTATTATGCTCGCTATGTTAAATGTAGTTGGATTGATGTGATAGGCTGGCTTGTAAATATACACAGTTCCTGACTGTGCTTTTGTACATTTAGTTATCTTGTACTTTGTGGTGTTTTGAATACAAATATATGGTCAGATATGTAGGTAATGGTGTTTATTTGTTGCTCTTTAAAGCTACAGAAACTGTCTCCCCTGTATCTGAGTTATGGCTGAGTAGGTTAGAAGGATCCTCAGCTTATGAACATCCCCTAAGTCCAGCAGATTTCTCAGCAGCCTTTCTGTTCATGAAATCCATCTTTGTCACAAATAGCAAATCTTGGGTTATGGAATATCACAATCTCGTTATGGGATGTCATCCCACAGCACAAATACATTATTCTCAGTGGATTTACAAACAGTGTAGCCAACATTGCCACCTGGATGTGACAGATGTACTGGGTATATATTTACACCAAAACATGATTTACACTTGTCAGGACAGTGGCAAGAACAGGCTGCAGAGAAGACTAGAAATACTGTTGAGAGAGTTTCTCCTTCATGGTTCCTTAGACATCATAATCCCTGTCCTGAAGCATGGGGAGGGGGAGGGAGCAGCTCTCCCTTGCTCTTCAAAATATATAGCTGGATGTAGGGGATAATATTCCACTCACTATCTCTGTCTGCAGGGCTCGAGCTGTGCCTTCCACAGCATGTTTTCCCCCATGGTTAAAAAAGCCCAGCCCAGTCTGTGGGTTCTAGAGATGTATCTTAGAGGATGAGGGATAATGTCCATGCCTGTCCAAGTTGCACTGACTTCAGTCCAAATGGAGTAAGGATCAAAGATGTCTCTGTAGCAGCCCTAGGAGCACATTTGTGTCTCCCATTTGATCTACCATTCCTTGCATTGACTTGCAGTGAACTTCTGTCCAAAGGGTACAGGCCATGTTCTGAGAGTTGGGAGAGAAGATTGCACTTGTCTATGCTGATTTCCCACCCCAGGGCAGTTCCACCCTCATGAGAATGTGCCCTTCTCCCAGGCTCTGCATGCAGCTCCCGTTATCCGACTGCTACCAGCAACCAAGCACCCCCAGTGCCATGGAGGAAGTGTGGGCAAAAGGCCAGCAGCTGAGCTCTCCAAAGGAGAAACCCTACAGGTATCTGCTCCTGTGGGGGTATGAGAACAGTCTGGAAATCTCCTAAACTAGTTGTTATGTTGCGTGTTCAAAGAAACCTGATTAGGTGGGAGACAGAGAGGGGGTTTTCACCCACAAACCTCAAACTGTACTATGTGGAGTGTGTCTACCTGTACTCCCGGGGGAACTACCCTCAGTGGCTCTCCAGGCACTCTTTCCATGCCAGGGCAAACATCTCTTGCCCACACTGTCTGCTCCCTGCTTGAAGGCAGAGCTGTTGGCTTTGCTGCTGCTTGAAATCTATCCTTCAGCTTAAGTATAGGAGCCTTCAATCCAGACCTAAGTGGCATAGGGAACTGCCCTCACAGCATGTGTGTCTGCACATTTAGGGTGTCCTTTCAGCCAGTGGTAGTTTACTGGTGGAGACAGGGTATCCAGCATCCCAGTGCATAAGGAGAAAAATTATTAGAATTTTTATAACTGATTAGAAAAGTTATACCAGTAAGAATGGGCTGGTTTTATTTAATCCAAGAACTGGTCTCTCTAAGAAGAGGAAATATAATTGTCTGTGACTGAAGATAAATCAAACTGAAACAGGGAAGTCAGCTCCACCAGAGCCAAAAATAAATGTGAGCAAACCTCCAGGGTTCTATGAGATGAGACGAATGAGAGAGGAAATGATCTCCTTAGAGCTAGAGGAGTCTAGATAACATATTAGCATAGAAGGAACAGCAGGAAAGGCCTTAGGGAGTGTCTGCAGAGCTCTGTCACCCACAGAACCAGCAGGACTGATGGCCCTCAGTATCATGGGCAGGGACTCACTGTTTCTAGGGTACAGGGAGGACACTTTCATTCTTTCCTAATGAAGGAGGCAATCAGAACATCCTTGTGGTTGCATATGGGGCAGGAGTGTGGAGTGCTGCTGGGAAGAGGACATACTCTGCTCTCTGGAGACAGGAGCAGTGCTGCCCTAAGGGAGCAGGGAAGGAAAGCAGCTTGGCTGGGATGTAAGCAGAATTTGGAGAGAGGAGTGTAAGTTGTGGAGCTCATCCTGTCTTTGCAAATGGGACCTGGTCCCTTAAAAGTGGGTATTCTTCAACCTTAGCCTAAGCTTTGGACTACTACACATCCATAAAACATAGTACCCTTTTACATGAATGGCAGGCTACAGTGAAGTGCTGAAGAGAGCTCTCAATCCAAATTCAAGGCCAGCCTGGGTCAACGATCCTCTAGCCCAGCAAAAGGGAAGCAAAGCAGAACAGAGCTGGCATATCTCCAACCAGCAG